TCCATTTAGTCCGGGTAGAAATTACAAAGTAAAAAAAAAAAAAAATGGGATCTTTATATCAAATAATACATTTTAGCTCTTGTATATTTTCCCTTAACAGAATTGGAAATGTTTAACATTAACTAACATCTATATGTGTTAAAGAGCAAGGAAAGATTGTATAATTTCTGACAGGGAACTTAATGCACGGAGGTTAAGAATCTCTATCCTAGAAGCATTTCCTTCTCTCTCAAGACTGGATACTCCATAGATGCTCCTTCTATGGGCTCTGGTTGCTTTAACAGAGCACATAGCATTCTATATTGTTAATTGTAACAATCTAGGGGAGTGAGATCACCTAATTATATAATTAACTTCAAGGGTTAGTATGCCTTCTTCTCTACTACCTAGATCCTAGCAGCATTATTGGTATAGAGTAGATGTTTAATAAGCATTTGTTGAGTACACAGATACATGATGCAGGGGCTGAATTGGTCTTGACTATTTTCTTAGAATGCTTAGTTTTATTCACCTATATAATAAATTTGAGGCTTAGTATATAATAGAAAGAGAAAAGAGAAGAGCATAAGAAGGAAGAAATTACTTTGTTGTTTTCATATACAAGATAAGTAAAACAATGTCGCAGTGATAAGCACACTGATTAATTATGATTTGGGATATTACTTGTTTTCTAACAACATAAAATGACAGAAGACCATAACTTAGGGGAAACAAGAGCTCTAGAAGGGGAAACAATATATATATATATTAAAAAATATATTGTTTAGTTTTATTACATGAGATATGTATATATACACACACATATATGTTTTAAATACTGCCTCTGGCACTTATTAGCTTGGTGACTTTGGGAAAGTAAATTCCTGGAGCCTCAGAGATATTTGTAAATTGATATATAAATCACAGTGTTGTACACATAAGATTTAAACGGGATAAGTTTTCAATGCTCTATTTCTCAGATTCCTCATCCAGAAAATGAGTTAAATGTTTCACGAACTTTAAAACCCTTCCCAATTGGAAATTTCTAAGGGCATATAAAAAGAAAGAAGAGGCTGTGTGTGGTGGCTGAAGCTGGCAGTCTCAACATTTTGGGAGGCCAAGGAGGACCACTTGAGGCCAGGAGCTCAAGACCAGCCTGGGCAACATAGTGAGGCTTCTTTCTCTGCAAAACAACAAACAAACAAAAAACAAAACAAAGAAACACTTATCTTGGCATGGTGGTATGTACCTCTAATACTAGGTGTTTGGAAGGCTGAGGTGGGAGCATTGCTTGAGCCCAGGAGTTTGGGGATGCAGTGAGCTATGATAGCTCCAGTGCACTCCAGCCTGGGCAACAGAATGAGATACTTACTGTCTCAAAAAAAAAGGTGGGGGTGTAGGGGAGACTATAGAATCAATCTCAACGAGTGACTGAACTCACTCTTTACATGAGGGCCAGCTCTATTGATCATAGAGCCATGGTTCCCAACCAGACAGCCACAGATACTTGGAGGCATGGGGGCGGGGTGGGGTGGGGTATTACAGCATAACCATCAGGGAACTGAGTATTGCATCAGGCTAAATAAATAAGAAAGCACATAACTGTGTGTGTTACTCTTCCAGTGATGTAGATGCTGATGTATTAAATAAAATAGTCATTTAAAATCTTCACCTATATAACAACTATATAATTAAAAAAATATATAGATAGATGGCATTATAAGATCATAATTACAAAATGTGAGAAGCCAATACCTATACATGTGTTTGTGTGTGTATGTTTGTATGTGTGTTAAAAAGTTATTTTTTGTCACATAAATTTGGAACTAATGTTCTAAAACTTGTCAAATATAAAATTGAAAGCCTCCCGTAAATATCAAGTAAAATGCCTAAAATGGCTCAGATGTCTACAAGGTAATGCGGTAAAAGGGGCTGAATGAGGGAACGTATATAATGTGCTAAACACACTGTCTGTTGTGTAGTAACTGCTCAGTGAATTTCAGTCAGTACCACTATAAATATTGAGAAAAGCATAGACTTGTGTTTAAATAAATTTGCTAATAAGTAAAACTAGTTCCCAGGCTAAAATACAGCAGAGTTGAATTGGTTATTCCCTCTTCTGAATTTCACGATAACTGTTCATACCTTGTTTTATCACATCACATTCTCCTGTGATCAGTTAAAGGCTCTCTTCCCATCCCCTATGGTCTTTGACAGCAGAGATTCTATCCTATTATCTTTGCATTCCCAATAGACAATGCTGTACCCAGCACAAGTAGGAGCTGAATAAATTTTTAATGCATGAAAACAAAACCTCAAAACACATCCTAGAATGAATATGCAGAGGGAGAGCTTGTAGGCATAATGGTTCCTAGGGCAGGTGAATTTATAGGCAAAGAGCTGGAGAGAGAGTACAAAAGGAAACAAAGTTTTTAAATGATGGGGAAAGTGATCCTTTGTTTGGAAATAAAGAATTGCTCAATTTCTTAAAATGAAATCTAACATTATATTTATGATATTAGAAATAAGAATATTTGCATTCTGCTTTATGTTTTATAGACCTTCCACAGGAATGTTATAACATGCTAATTATTAATTTTTCTTATTTTGTGCATTAGGAAACTAAATCTTATTAAAAGCTACTTTATTTTAGGTCATACAACTAGAAATAGTTTCAAGACCAACGGTCTTCAACAAGGCATGGAGCATACCAGGCATTATGGAAGATTTGTCAGTTATCCAAGGACCATCATGACGTCAAATAAACATGGCTGAACTTTATCTATAAATTCTGAAACAACTTAGATGATCAATACATGAAATAAAATTACGGCAGTTTTATTTGGTATAGCCTATGTTAAGAAAGGATTATATAAGTGGGGGGCTGTGTACATGGGGCATGTATATGTATTTTGTTTTGTTTTTAATATCCTACTGCTTAGATATATCATGTGTACAGCATGTCACTCTGAGCTTATAAATCGAAAGGCAGAAATGAATTCAAGCATCTTATTTCTTGAGGTAATATGGCAATTTTACTAGTTGGGAAATAAAATATGAAAAAATGGCTTCCAGCTTTAACTAATGGATCAGTTTATATGTATTAAAACTGTCCTGGGCTTGTTTAAAAGAGGAAAGATTTATTTTTCAAACATATATCCAAAGCTCAGGATCAAAAGAAAGTTTAATTATTTATCCCTGGATAATGCAGATGAAAGCAAATGTAATTAAATGCTAACTGTTCTTTAATGAAAATTATAAACATAATTGAACTTCATCTTTAACTAAAGGCAGAGTTGTTAGTTAAACAAATGATGTCAGAGCTCCAGTTTTCTTTCTCACTTTAATTATGCTTAGTCTTTTAACACAGGAATTTCCACACAGGTCTCCATTTCACGTACTCTGTAGATTGTATCTTTGCAAACCATTTAAGACTCTTCTGATTGACAAAATAAAGTAGGCTGGCAATTTAAAAGAAAGTCATGTTTGGCTTTTGACAGGATCTCAGCTTTAGACTTTTCTACAATTTAGATACATTTTATTTATTTCTCTTTCTTAATAGCTATGCCTAAAACTTACAGTTCTAAAAAAGCCATTCAAGCTTTTTTTTTCTTTTTCTTTTTTTTAAATTTTCTGACTAGATCGAGACAAGCTAGGACTGTAGAAGTATGACAGGGAGGAAAAAGGTCAAATTACACACAAAAGCATTAAGGTTCACTTTTACCAGCATCAGCCAAGGTGTGCATTGACAAGAAAATGTACTCTGATGGAAATCAACAGCAATGATTCAAAACACTGTGCTCACTACAGAATGGGGGTAGGTGGTGGTTATTATGCAACAAATGTAGACACATATGGCCAAATGGAAATTTTTGGCTGGTAAATATATAAAGAAAACTTTAATAATTAAAAGTAATATGGGAACCACATTAATTCAAAAGTGTGATTTCATTCTCAAACCATTTGTTTAAAAGATATGTTAAGACATTTAAAGGACTCCAAAAAGTGATGAATTAATCCAAGAAAAATGACATGAGCAATATTAAATGATAGAATTATAATAACAGAAAGAACATGTTGGTAATTCCATGGATAATTCATTCACTTGGAAAAATATAGCATCCCTGGCTGGGCACAGTGGCTCATACCTGTAATCCCAGCACTTTGAGAGGTTGAATTGGGAGGATAGCTTGAGGCCAGAAGTTTGAGACCAGCCTGGGCAACACAGCAAGATGCTGTCTTTACAAACAATTATTTGTATACACACACACACACACACACACACACACCAGAAAATTTTTAATGCATAAATTATTTACATGTTTATAAACAATTATATATATTATATATATAATTATATATAATATATATATTTGTGTATGATTTATACACATATATAATATATATAATTATATATATAATATATATATAATTATATAATTATATATATAATATATATATAATTATATAATTATATATATAATATATATATTTTTATATTTTTATATATATTATATATATAATTATATAATTATATATATAATATATATATAATTATATAATTATATATAATATATATATAATTATATATATTTGTGTATGTATATATATACTATGTATAATATATAGTATAATATATAATATATATAATACTATATATGTGTATAAATATGTAAATAATTTTTATATATGCATTAAAAATTTTCTGGTAATATGGAAATTGTGCTAGCTGGCAAATATATATAAAGATATTGTTATATATACATAAAATCTATTAATATAATTTATATATGAATATATACATTTTATATTACACATATTTTAGATATAGAGCATTCTTTCATAACTTTTCAGTTTCCATCTTCCTGTCAGCATATCTGAGAATAGTGAATCATTAATCTCAAAGATTCTCTCTGGAAATTTCAAACATTGAATTTAAAACTATAAAATATACCCCTATAAAGTATTTTGTCATAGCAGCCCAACAGCAAAAACATAAACCAACTGACAATGGGTCTTACCATCTCCTGGGTCAATAATCTCAACAGTGGCCACTGTGGGGAATTCCAGGGCAGCCAGCACGGGCTCCGAGAGGACCACCTGAAAGGTTTCGGACTGCTCGTGCTCCCCGTCACTCAGGATCCGCACTCGCCACGTGGCCCTCGTCTGGCCCGGGTTGAACTGTACTTGTTTCTGTGCTTTGCCCTTGAAGTCTTTGTCTTTTTCTGCAGTCCCATCTCTTGTACCAATACCTGCACAGAAACATATCATTTTCTTAGTTTCATTTTCACTTGGATTATTAACGTTTTCCTTATTAACTTTTTAGGTGTCATTTTATCCTGAAGAGCAAAGTTGATCCTGCTTTGAGCTCATAAAATGGAAAACTGGGTATGGGTTTGATGACGAAAGTGTTTCACTGTAGGTGTTGGGTAGTTCCTGATTCTGTTCTGCATTTGACTCCATTATGGTTTTGCTACATATGCTTTGAGCTACATTTGGATTAGAACTTCTTGTCAAACAAGAATATATTTTATATTCACATTGTACAATATCCTTACTCCTACAAGTTCATAGTCTTAAAACTCTTCACATTTACTTTTGCATGTGTTGTTGCATATTACATAAAAAACATAAGAAACATTCTCTAACTATAAAATATAAGCCAATAAGAAACTCTTCCATGAAAGAATTCTTTGACTTACCATCTAAGTCATAAATGGCTCAGTGGAATGATAAAAAATGATGGTATTCTCTAAACATTTAATGGAACTAGGATCCATAAAAAAATGTAATTCGGCATTTTCAACATGGCCACTGCCAGATTTTTTTCTGTGGAACACCCTAGAATTCCATGAAACCATGTAAATAGAATTGGAGAGCTAAATATATATGGTTATTATGAGCTTGGCTTACTCTGAAAGTTCATTCAAGGTCAATTTTAGTTAGCTGGGAAGGTTGAAGGATCTCTGGGTCTCTAAGTACATTACAAGATGATCTTCACTATTACCATGCCAGATTCTCAAATCATACGGTACATTATCCAAAAGCACTGAAAACATTCAATGTCATAGAAAAATATAAAAATGGCAATAGTTCCTGGACTTCTATATCCTTAAATATGGAATCATAACCTCTTAATGAGTCAAGTTAATAGAATAATTTTCAAATATATTTCTCTAAACCCGGGCATTTTCAGAGATGTTGACAGGACAGACAAGTGTAAAAGAGGGAAAAATAAGGCTGGGTGTGGTGGCTCAGGCTTATCATCCCAGCAGTTTGGGAGGGGAGGTAGGTGGATCACTTGAGCCCAGGAGTTCGAGACCAGCCTGGAAAACATGGTGAAACTTCATCTCTACAAAATAGACGAAAAATAGCTATACACATGTCTATGGTCCCCACTACTGGGGAGGCTGAGCTGGGAGGATCACCTGAGCCCTAGGAGGTAAAGGCTGCAGTGGGCTGTGATCCTGCCACTGTGCTCCAGCCTGAGTGAGACCCTATCTCAAAAATTAAAAATACATCAATACATAAAAGAAAAATAAAGTCTTGTGGCTTAGATTTTTTAAAGCTTGAAAATAAGTTATGTTGGAACATTTTGCATTTAATTAAAAATTATTATATATTTGAACAATTCCTGTTGGTTTTTAAACTAAAAATGAAACTAGACTAAATAAGATCCATTCAACTACAAATACTCGTTGAGTACTTATTCCATGCCAGGCTCTGTTCTGTGTGCTGGGGCTGTATCAGAGAACAAAACAGACAAAACCTTTGCCTTTATAGTGCTTGTATATGAGTCATTTGAATATTTATTTATTTATAGAAATATATCAATGACTGTTATTTTAATCTTAAAATGAAGCTGAAAACAAACATTTTATTAAAAATAGTTCTCTTATAGTTCTCAGAAAAATAACTGACAAAAATGTTGCATCATATTTTTCTTTTCAGTAGCAGGTAAAACATGATTTATTTAATGGCAAGAGAAAAAAGGGCACAGAACCAGGAATTGCAGGGCTGCATATTTTGTTGAATGCTGTAGACTTCCTGAGAGCTCTCTGGTTCCTCGTGCACACAGACTGGTTGTCAACACCTCTTGGATCCACTACAATTCACTGCCAAGATACTGATGAAAGAAATCATTCTCTCTGAGGTTCCAGAACACATGCTGCTCACTGACCCATCTATCCCCAGTGGCATGACCAGCAAAAATTGGTTAGTCTGCCTCTGATAGCTACTGCTCACTTTTCTGTTTTGTTTTCTTTCATCAGCAATGCACTATATATGTTTTCTGCAGGTTCAAAAGGCAGTTAAAAACAAAAATGAGTAAGAATGATACAAGGAATGTCTGCTACTTTCAACTAGTCCTCCTCCCTACATGACAGTCAGGCCATCTAATATTAAATGAGTTGCGATGCCATCTGATATTAAATCAGTTGCAATACCATATCCCAATTTTTGCTGCTAAAAATACCTATAAATTTTCACTTTTGTTATTAAATGAAACTGCAACCGGATCTTTTCCTCTGATATAGAAAAATAACAAGGTGTTTAAACAAGGTACTTGTGGAAGGAGAGAATAGATTTTATATCCCATCCTGGCCATATAACTGTTGTGGGATGGTAGACAAGTTATGAACTTAACTCAGTGGAGGATTTACGAAGCACTATGGTGCAGTGGTTAAGAGCGTGGGCCTTTTGCCAAATCTCAGCTCTGCCCCTCACTAGCTGTCTGACTTTGGACATATCACACTCTCTATTTCCTCACCTCATGGCGCTCTTCTCATGGAATTGACCTAGGTAGGGTATTGGGAAGTAGGCCCAGCAAATAACTCAGTAAACATTAACTATCATTGTTTCTTCATAGTTTACTACCCAACAAAGCCCCTGGTATGTAATGAGTACTCAAGAAAATATTTGTTAAGTCAGGAAATAAAGGGTTGATGTAAGGCGCAAAAGAGGTAATGTGCTTAATGTACATATGAAGTACCTTGCCTTATTAAATGTTCAAAAACTGGTAGCAATAAGATCTTTGACATGCAAATACTACTGTGGACTATAAATACACATTTAGTTTATTAGTGGTTAGAATAGTTATAAAATGAATAATCATCTTTCAGAAAATACATCTACAAATTTCATGTAATTCATGATTTCTTAATTGTACTCAAGTGATGTTCTATCTTTTGCTATAATGCAATCTATGTCATTCTAAAGGTCCATAAATAAAAGTAGAGTTTGTATGGAACAGCTATAGGCAACATATTCGTTGTAGAACTTCTATGAGGCTACCCTTCAATTTAATCTGATTTTCATTCCAGGTCCTAGCATGAATTCCATTACCATCTTTAATGACTGAAGGATGTGGACCACACACAGAAGGCTTCCCAACTTTCTATCACCCCAGGTTACTAAGTAACCATGTGAAGGGAACCAAGTAAAGCCTATGAGCCTTTGTAGAACTGCTGGTAACCCCACATTCATAGGAAATAATAGTGCAATGAAAAAACAACAACAAAAAGAGTTCTTGTTTGACAGTTTAGTATCCAGCTTAAGAAAAAAAAGGCAGTGGAGAAAAAAATGCAAAAAAATAATTTAAAAATCTTTTTCCACTATTAACTTTCCCAATGCTATCCATGGGCTGGTTGTGAGTGAAAAATTAAATAAACTTATCAGGAACGGGAACTCAGGTAAAAAATAGATAAACCTGGCCAGGTGCAGTGGTTCATGCCTATTATCCCAGCACTTTGGGAGGCAGAGGCAGGTGGATCATGAGGTCAGGAGTTCAAGACCAGACTGGCCAAGATGATGAAACTCCACCTTTACTAAAACTACAAAAATTAGCCAGGCACAGTGGCAGGTGCCTGTAATCCCAGCTACTTGGAAGGCCGAGGCAGGAGAATCGCTTGAACCTGGGCAGCAGAGGTTGCAGTGAGCTGAGATCGCGCCACTGCACTCCAGCCTGGGCAACAGAGTGAGACTCGGTCTTAAAAAAAAAAAAATAGATAACCTATTCTTAATAATTGGTAAGGTGCTCTGTTTGTTAGCTATCATTTTCCCTATGACTTATTTGCTATAGGTTCAAGTCCAAAGCAGAGTTAAGACAAATCTCTCCCTGATGATAAGACAGACATGATGTGCATGTGTGCACAGAGAATATCCCTAAAAGACAGCACAGTGAGAGCGCTCAGAATATCCAAGGCTAAATATAAAGCATGTGAAGCACAGCCAGGTGGAGGCTCATGCAAAGTGAAGATAGAAGCAGAGGCTGGAGGTAAGGCTGTGGGGGACCAGTGCCCCTGCAGTCAGAGCAACCTCAAAGACAGGGAAAGTGTCCTGTGAAACTTCAGTCCTCTAAAGTTAAAAGGAAAAAAAAAAAAGAATTTTTAAAGTAAGGGGTAATTAATATTCAGAACCAAAACATGTCAGGGGAAATCAAAAAGAATGGTAGGGTGCTGTGGCTGCAGCAAACGTACGGCAGGTGTATGGGTGCCGGGGGTGGTGTTGGGGTGGCAGGGGTGTAGACCTGTGCATAGAGGTCTACTGTTTAAGGCTCTTGAAATTCGTGAGCTGGTAAAATTTCAAACTAATCATTTGGAGACAAGCATAGGGTGACTAACTTTTTACTTTGCCAACATTTTCCTAGATTCCTATCTTACTTGTTAATCTCACTCAATGAAACCTTTTTTACCCCATGCAAATTCTATTGGCCTCGATGTCTATAAAATACATGGTACCAAAACCACATAATTGCTTCCCAGATGCTGCCATTTTTATCAACATATTAAATATTTTGTGCCAACTCTATTGCTGCTTAAAAATACCAATATATTGCCAACTTTATTTTACACGTATATGAAAATCAAATACAAGCTTGAATTGGAGTTGACAAAAGGTTTCCTTTGTTTGCTTTTGACCATCAGTTTTATTTAAATGAAGCAAAGCAGAAGAAAATTATTAGTATTTAACCATTTGCTGTTTGTTACAAAGAAAGGTCACAACACTAATGTTTCAGAAGACTTTTATCTTAGGGGTAAATTACAGATTTGTCTAAGCTCATTCTAAGATCTAGTGACATTTATTTTTATTTCATAACTTAGTGTTCTTGCCAATTTTTATAACAGAGAAAGATCACATGTGTACATAACAGTCTTATAGAGATAAGTACCTGGACACAAACCTGTTGCTTGTTTCTTTAGCAGTCAGAGAAGTTTTAAATTTTTAAGCTCTAAAACTAGATCAGTGAACTAAACTGATGTTTTAATCATTGTACAAGAATTACAAACCTTTGCTAGAAAATAAAATTTTGAGACAAATAAAAAATTAAACTTACTTATAAAAGAAGTTTCTCCCAAGTAACCTCTGCGTTTAAGAATGACATCTAGAAATTTGGAGTCCTCATTGATCAGGTAATATTCCTTTTCGAAGGAGATCCATGCCCAATTCAGACGAAACTGCTGGTTGGTTAACTTGTTTCCACCTTGAAAATAAAAATGTAAAGCCATAAATTAGTGCTTTCTTGAATGAGTGAAAATTAGCGCTTTCTTGAATGAGTGACCTTAAAAATTCCACAGACTACTTTAATGAAGCAACATTAAGAATCAATACAGCTACTTAGTTTGATACACAACTCTAGAATATGTACACGGAGGTACAGCTTACAGTCTAGGAACTGTTACACATAAATTCGGTCGCTGACATAATTCTTCACAAATTTTTTGCTGTTTTAGAAGGGGAAGTAAGGTAATGGGTAGGAAGTATACAAGGGCCAGAGGCAATTTAGTTTAATCCTAAAACTAAATATCCCACTTGCAGTATAACTCACTTCCCACAAGGTGCCGCTGGAGAGCAAGTTTTCTATTCGCAGGGCTGCAAGGCTCCTTTGTGATGTTCTTAAAAAAACACAACTTCACAAATACCTTTTTCTGGTTCACAGAGCAATTAGGTGGAAGATTTTAATTATAACCACTTAAGGAAAAACAAATATCCCCTCTCCGCCTCCCTTCCCCACTAGATTCCACTCCATTCCTTAGAGCAAACAGACAGCTCTTTTTATTGATTTCCATTCCACTCTGAAGATAAGGTTTTCCCCTCCCATCTTCCCACCAAAATGGGGCTGGCTGCCTATCAGGAGAAAATAAACCTCGCGTGTGATCGCTCTAATGTGAAAGCGACTATGTTGGGTAAATGAAAGGAAAAATGGTTATCAGCTGATCACTCTGCACGCATCCCTCTACTTCTTTTGATCTACAGCAATTATTTCAGAGTAAGATGAGGTTTACAAACAAAGGCATCAGTAATGCCTTTTAAGTCTTTCTGAAAGAGGCTGTGAAAAAAAAAATGCCCAAGTGACAAACACAGCTAGAGGCACAATTTTCATTCTAGTTTCTTCTCTTTGCAATTCACATAGAGTTTCACTAGATAAAAAGAAATGAAACAGGAAAATCTCAAAACTTTAATAGACCACAAAAAAATCTACACAAAGGAAAATGTTGAGTGAGCAAAGACATGAAAATGCATTTGTCTTTGCTCGAACTTTTAAAAAATAAAATCTGCAGCAACTTTGAGCTATTAACTTGGTGTGTACTAAAGATTAAAGAGAATACCCCATGCAAGTGAGATTATGTAGGGAAAGTGTTTTCTTGTTTACTGTTGTTTGACTTGCAAATTAGCACAAGCCTTTTGGACAGCTATTTGCCAATGTGTGAAAGGGGCAAAAAGATGGTTATATCAGTCTTGTTAGTCCTTCTGTGGGATTTTTGCTTTAAGAGAAGCAAAATATATATTTGTAAGAAACTATTCATTGCAATATCTTCTATAATAACTCCAAACCTTAAAAACTATCTTATAGTGTATCAAATCAATAACATGTTATTAAACCACTAAACAATAAATATGAAATTATTGTTGGAACACTGAAAACACTTAAAAACACAACAACAAAATGCTACTGATGCCATGAACGCCGCTACATAAAATGAGGCATGACGCAGGTGAAGCTGCCTGGTGTTTTCAATGATGGGATTATAGACTTTCCTATTTTTAGTTAATTTATCAACTATAAAATATAAATAGATTGGAGAGCAGGAATTTTGTGTCAGTTTAACAAGGAAACTCATTCCACATTTTGCCCTGATGAAACTTACCTAATATCAGCTACACCCTGAGTGCTGTTCGGGAAAGGAGAGGCCATGGGCTGGGAGGCTCTTCAGAACTGGAGTCCAAGGTGCACCCACATCACTTCTAGCTGCTGTCTGACTCTGAGCAAGTTACTTCTCTAGACCTCTGTTTCCTTTTCTGGAGTGTTAAGTGAGGGCAATGCTAATTAGCACCTGTGATTTCTTCGAAGATCAACTCAGATAAGCCATACACACACAGAGTACCCTGAGGTCAATAGTAGCATTCAACGAACGCAAGCTCACTCTGCCCTGCCATACCACGAGTACGCCAGCCCACCCTGCATTCCCGCTGTTGGACTACTATTCGTCTGCCTTACACCTACCAGTGTTCATTTCGCCTTTGCCTCTCTTGTCTACAGCTTTTGCCCATATCACGTGGACGTTTCTTTGCAGATTTCCAGGTTCATCCTGACCTACTCTGATTATGTCCCTTGCACCCTAATCTGCTCATCTGGAGGTAAGCCAAGATTCTTGCAGCTCCTGGGATTTGCCACCCTCACTCTTCCCGTCACCCATGTCCTCTTGCCTAAAGTGAGGACCCCTATTCTTCCTTGGCCGATGCTTTCCACTCCTTATCGCTGCTCTATCCCCCTGCTTGTGAAGAAGCTGCAGCTGCTCCAGCCCTCTCATCTCTTTGTGATTCTGCAGCTGTTCTCTTATTGGTTACTCTGTATAGTTGTGCCCTTTGGTGGGTATCCTCTCATATTTAATTGTATTAATTTACCAATTGTACTAAATTACACTAATTTACATCAATAATTGAGAGTATCCATTCTTTCATTATTTCCAATACTTAGTCTCATTGTTTTTAAAATATATTTTTAAAAAGTATTGTGTATGTTCCAGTAATTGGAACATCATCTAGAAAGCAATGGAAAAGAGAATAACATGTACTTGATTACATGAGTACATAAAATAGCTCTGATGTGAAAACACATTATTAGATGAAAACAACTTTATGCTACACTCCTGTCCACTTTAAAATGTGGTCCCAGCAAGCCCAGGTTTCATTCCAAACTTCTTGTCATGCTCTACCAGGTCTTTCCTCGGCCATTCTAACACCTATGGCTTCACATCCCATCACTTCCCCATAAAGAGAAATATTCAGCCACATCCAACCTCTTAACTCTTTTCTGAACAAAGGTGGCCGTTTTTGTATGTGCGATGTCTTCTGCACAGGACAGCCTTCGTTTTCCTACTCTTCCTGGGAATCCCTATTTCTCTAAATTTTAACAATTCTTAGCTAATTTCAAGAATTGATTCTAACCTTTTCCTGAAATATTCCAGAAAATATTATTCTCTCGTAAACATGGCACATTTTAAGAATAGACTTCTCTCTTCAATTTTATAAAACAGCAAGCCCATTGCAAACCCCAGTACTCTCTACGCCTTCATTCTGATTAATTTTTCCCTATAGTACTTTCTAAAATTTTATATCATATGTATATATATATACTGTTTTTTGGTTCATTTTCTGTTTTCTCCCACTGTAACACATGATTCACGAGGTCATGGAGCTCATTATACTTATTAGAAAAACACCTATTGCATCAATCAGAAACTCTAATGTCTTGGTTGAAAGTTCAGTGGTCCTTCATTTATTGAGCAATATAAATTTCCTATGTAAATGTAACATTTCTCTTTCATTACTGAATCTTATTTTTTAAAAAAATAATTTGTTTAATGACACCCTTTCTAAAATGTTTGCATGCTTCTTGAAAGATTTTAAGTAAAACATAAATGTGAATTATTGGAATCTGTGTTTCTCTAAATGACACTTCCAGGCATTATTGATGACTAAAGGGCTGTTTAACCCTTCCATTCCCTTTGTGGATGGTTTTAGACACACCTAATTTTGTTTCTACTTGCACATCTGTAAAAATGACTTTCAGTTTTGTGCCTATGTTCTGAATGGACGAAGTTGCCAAGTTACTGGTTAATCAGAGGTCTTGAATGACACATAGCTGAATAGTTTGCTAGTATTTGATATGTACAACCACCACCTTGAGATTTTACTTCAAAATAAAATTCAGAAACAATATAAAGAAGCTTTGCTTTGTAAGACAGAGAGATAGTCCAAGGTAACTATTATAGAAAATTTAGAATTCCCACTGAAACTGGGATTTTAAACCAGAGAATATTAATGAAATACATATTTAAATAGAAAATATGAAGTCTATAAAGCTTAACTCTTAATGGAATTAAATACTTCATAACTCTTCTGAACCTTACACATGTGAATCAGATTTGATTTCAGGATTTGTAAAATCTTAGGTACTTACTTATTTGAAAAACCAAGCTGTAACCTATTTAGCTCCCTTTACTAAAACTGTGACCTTACATAATTGAACGCTGTATTTTATTTAAAGAATAGGAAGATACCTTATTTATTAATTTGTTGCCTATCACCTAAACTCTTCTAAAACCTCAATCAATGGAAATAATAAACATTGACATTTTAACAAAAGCTACAGCTTACTGAATGTGAAATTATAGATGAAGCTAAATATTGTCAAAAAAGGACACATTTTTACTTAAACAAAATTTGTTGCCTTTCTAAAATAGATTCTGTCATCTATGGTGCACGAGGAGCTAGTCTCAGCATCTCATTGGAAAAAAATTAAACTCCATAACTCATGTCATAAATCCACACAACAGGTGTCTGACAGCTGATGACCACACTCCCAAATGCTCTGTCCTCAAATCCTGACACCAAAGCCATTAAGGTTTTGATGAAAAGACCTCTTTTGAACTTTTCCAGCTGGTCTTTAGACTTCTTCATTTTCTTTTTCAATTCAAACTCAGTAGTTTTTTTTAGAATAACAAAAAAACCAATCTCCAATTAGCCCTCCCAAAAAGCTCAGGGCTGCCTGATTTCACTGAAGACAAAGCATTTGATCTTCAATAATATGAAACTAGTGCCGCAGTTTTGACTTGTGTTTGATAAAGGGGATGTGTTTATTTAGCTTTGACAACAAATTTCTTCTTGGAGAATAGTTACAAATAGAAAATATTGTTGGTAATTTCTAGTTCGGTAAATTCTCATTTGCCCAGAATAAAGTTCATCTTTAAAGCTGAACTGAAAATTAACTATACAGATATTTTTAAAAGCTAGATGTGGTCCTTTAAATCAGCAATAGAAATAGATATTTATATGAGAAAAGATTAAGATAATAATACTGTTACCTAACTTATTGGAGAAATTAGATGATTTTATTTTTGTTACTGTTTTAGAGACATGGTCTCACTCTGCTGACCAGGCTGGAGTGTCGTGGTGTGATCATAGCTCTCTGCAGCCTCA